TACCTTTTTATGTTGAAAAGTTATATTCTCCTCCTGAAACCCTGAATATAGTAAAGATCCTGCTAAATGGACTGATTCATTTACAGAAAGAACTGATGATCCAGATCATCATTTACAGAAAGAACTGATGATCCAGATCATCAGGTTCCTTCCTGAAAAACAATCTATTCTCCACATTTACTATAAATGTGAGCTGAATTGATCCTATTTATAGTTTTAGATTCATTTTTCTTTGGGGTCCTGCTGACCCCTGGAAACATTCAGTCAGAAGTCCTTCATCCTCGTCTGTTTGGGTTGCAGCCAGGGAATCATCCCAGGTTGATCAGACACTTCTGTCAGAACTGCTCCCAGAAAAATCAACGATGCTAAATTGTCGTGGGAAAAAAAATATTTAACTATTCACTCCAGTTAAATAAACAGAGATCGATGGATTTCACTCAGTCGGCATTTATTACATCTTTGCAAAGAGAGATCAGTTCATCATACGGCCCTAATTATGGAATAAACCTGAGAAAGAATCCGGTTTGTTTTGGGGATTACATGTGAACACTCCTTTCAGGGGAAACGGACGCCGTAAAAACATTTTTTTATTGGATAAATAGCAAAACTCAATATATGAAATAAGAGAAATCTGAATTTTCTGACCGTGATGATGTTAAAAAATTCACTCAGATGACAAGATGTCTGCTGACTGTTTAAAGTTGTACAGATGTGCTTTCAATACTGTTATTTTTACTATTTTCATTATTTTTTTTACACTCGATTTGATACGATTCTATCCGTCTATTTATTCACATCGACATGAAATAACCAAATGACTCCAATATGAGGGCATCTAAATAAAAAATGGCTTTTTTTCCATAAAAAGTACAAATAAAAGATTTGCAGCTCACTATAGTCGTCTAAATTTTAAAAGAATGTATTGGTACAAGTACAGTAATATTGGCATATAAGCACACAGCTCACCCACTACATTCATAAAACTTAAGACATAAACCAAAAAAAACCAACAGCTTTTGATGGTTTCCAACTTTAGGGATTCAACAAGTTTACAGAGAGATTTACGCAAAATTTGCTAAAATAAAAAATACTTCAGTCCAAAAAATGTCAGAACAGAGAGTTCAAACTGACAAGGTGATTAAAACAATCGGTTATTTAATGTATTTCTAAACTGAAATATTTTAATTCAATTATCATGATGCAAAAAAGCTTAAGGAATATTTCTGTAATAAGAAAACAGAGCGAGAAATAACCGAATCCTTACATGTCCTTCAGACATGAGCTTTTTTTTCTTTACCTAAAGGTAACTTCTTTCCTCTCAGTTTCTCGGTCGAATAGTGAATTTCCATGTGTCTTTTAAAATATGAACTTGTTGTACATCTTTTACCACAAATATCACAACGATTTTCTCCATGTTGAACTCTTTTGTGCTCCTTTACGTACGACTTGAAGGTGAATCCTTTACCACAAACATCACAATTAAAAGGTTTTTCTCCACTGTGAATAACTTTGTGCATGTTTAAATATGCACTGGAGCTAAATTCCTTTCCACAAACATCACATCCATAGGGTTTTTCTACAGAGTGAGTTCTTTGATGCATGTTTAAATATGCATTGGAGGCAAATCCTGTCCCGCAAACATCACAGATGAAGTGTTTTTCTGCATCGTGAATTTGTTTGTGCTTCCTTAAATTGGACGTGCTAGTGAATCCTTTCCCACAAACATGACAAACAAAGGATTTTTCTCCATTGTGACTTTTTTTGTGAATGTTCAAACTTGCCTTGGATTTAAATCTTTTTTCACATATATCACAAACGTAGACCTTTTCTCCTTTGTGGATTAACAAGTGTTTGTTCAATTCCGACTTGGTGAAAAATTCTCTTCCACAAGCATCACAGCCAAAGCGTTTCTCTCCTGTGTGTTTTCGTATGTGTCTATTTAAATCTGACTTTGAGAAAAACCCTTTATCACAAGCATCACAAACAAATGGTTTCTCTCCAGTGTGGGTTCTCATGTGTCTATTTAATTCTGCCTTTGAGGGATATCTTCTGCCACAAGCATCACATCCAAATGGTTTTTCTCCTGTGTGGAGTTTCAAGTGCACCTTTAAATTTTCGTTTAAGTTGAATCTTTTACCACAAGTATCACAACTAAAGGGTTTCTCTCCTGTGTGGATTCTTCTGTGCCTTTCTAACTGAGCATTGGTGACGAATCCTTTTCCACAAGAATCACACAGAAAGGGTTTCTCTCCTGTGTGGATTTTCTTGTGGGTGTTTAAATCCCATTGTGAGTAACAACGTCTCCCGCAAGTATCACATCCAAACAGTTTCTCTCCTGTGTGATTCCTCATGTGTCTGACTAAATTATATTTTCTTGTGAATCTAATTTCACAAACAGCACAACTGAAGGATTTCTCCCCCGTGTTCATGTTAGCATCACTACAGTTTAGCTGTTTAGTATTTTTCTTTAGTGATTCTTCTTCTTTCGTCTCTGTGAACCATTTCTCATCGATGGAACATCCTGAAGTCATGGATCTCGGCGTAGAACGACTCTGAATAGATCTGTTAGCATCTTGTTTCCCAGATTTGCTGACAGTGTTTGTGTCTGCCTCAGGAACTCTGCTCTCTTCCCGATCCTCCTCGCTATCCTCGGTTTCAGAATCTTCTCCACGCTCTCCAGAGCCTCC